TTTTGTCTTGAAATCTTTTGTTTGATATAAGTATGACTGCATCTGCTTTATTCTGGGTACCATTTGCTTGGAGTACTATCTTCCACCTCTTTACATTAAATCTTTGTTTTTGTAGCTGCAGAGGGTCTCCTGAAGGCAGCATATAGTCAGGTCTTGTTTTAATCCATTTTGCTACTCTGTGCCTTTTGACTGGTAAGTTCAGACCATTTACATTCAGGTTGATTATTGATTATGAGGACTTACTGTAGCTATTTTATCTTTTGTTTTCTGGTTGCTCTGTTTATCTGTCGTTACCTTTCTCTTGTGTTCTGTCTGATATTTTTGTTTGATGGTTTTCTATGACTTTTTTCTCTCTCTTTTTTTTTTTTTCATGTTTCTTATCTCAGCTCTGGATTTTTGTTTTGTAGTTATCATGAGGTTTGTAAAAAGCATCTCAGATAAAATAGTCCTTTTTATTTTCTGATAGCAGCTTATCTTTATTCACCTATTGAGTTCCATCCCTTTCTTCCACCCCTTTTATATTTTTGTCACAAATTATCCCTTTTTATGTTGTGTGTTTATTACCAAATTGCAATAGCTATTGTTATTTTAATACTTTATTCCTTTTAACCTTTGTGTTGTAATTAAATGTTTACTACCCTGTTCTGCAATAGAGTTGCAATTTCCTGTTTCTGTTTGTCTCTTTGTCACCTTACTCAAACTTTTGTGTTTCTGTTTGTCTCTTTGTCACCTTACTCAAAGTTTTGTGTACTTTTCGTCTTTTTGTTTCAGGTAGAAGAATTCCTTTCATCATTTTATGTATAATTTAGGTCTTGTGTTAATAAATTTCCTGTTTTTTTCTTTGGTTTGGGAACACCTTTATTTCTTCTTCATATCTAAAGGGTAATTTTTCTAGATATATTATTCTTGGCTGGTGATTTCCCTCCTTCAAAACTCTGACAATATCATTCCACTTTGTTCTGGCCTGTAGTGTTTCTGAGAAATCCGACGATAACATGATGTTTCCCTTGTAGGTTACTGTCTTTTTCCCCCTGGCAGCCCTGAGAATTTCTTTTCTTTTTTATTTTTATCATTAGCTTTTGTCATTTTTAATATAATATGTCCCGGAGAAGGTCTTTTGAGTTCTGTTAGCTTCTTTTACATTAATGTTCAGATCTTTTCTTAGGTTTGGAAAGTTCTCATCAATAATAATTTGAATAGGCTGTCTGTTCCCTTCTCCCTCTCTTGTCCTCCTGTGATACCCATTAATTTTATGTTGCTCTTTCTAATGGAATCAGTTCTTATAGAGTTCTTTAAAAACTCTTCTACCTGAATCATTTCTAGGTTTCTACTTTTGAGCTCACTCATTCTCTCTTCCATATGATCTTCTCTGTTTCCAGTCCTTTCTAATGCATTCTCATTTCATTTGTTGAGTACTTCATCTCATTTATTGAGTTCTTCAACATAAGAATCTCTTTTTGGTTCTCTTTTACAGTTTTAATCTCTTTGGTAATGTTTCTGTTTATTAATTTTATTCCTGAGCTCATTGAATTGCCTTTCTGAGTTTTCTTATACTCAGTTGAGTTCCTTCATCACTACAAACTTGAATTCTCTGTCATTTAAATCACGGTCTCCCTTAAGTTTAGTTTCTGGAGAATTGTTGTTTTCTTTCTGTGTTACCATGTTTCCTTGGTTGTTCATGGTACTGATGTAGTGCTTCTCTGCCTGCATATTTGAGGTAGTACACTCTTTTCTTGTTTAGATACGATTTTGATCTTATCAATTCAGCAGGTTGATAGAGTTTGTTTTCCAGTAGATGGTGCTCAAGTTTTTGTTTTCTCTTGTGCTACTTATGCCTCTGGGGTTGCCTTGAGGCGGAGGGGGGACATCACTGTAGTTATGGAAATTGACACCTGGGTGACCTGAGTGGTGGGCCTTTCAGCCATTTTTAGGATACCTCCATCTAGGGGCGCCACCACTGTTGGGTAGATATGTCAGATGGATGAGGAACCCAGTTTTTGAGTCCCCTGTGCTTCCAAGAGCCCTTGTTCCTTATGGCTCCAGGCACCACTGTGCTGTAGTCTGGCGGCCATAGAAGCATCTCCTTCGCATCTAGCATGTTTCTTTGCAGTGTAAGGAATGGGAAATGGATCCAGATTCTTGGGCACCTATGCTGCTTATGCCCCTCTTAGACTCCACTAGACTGTAGTGGCACTGCACCCCAGTTCTTCCAGTGTTAACAAGTTAGCTGAGGCCATAGCAAGCTCAACACTGTCCCTGTCCTTCCCCTTGTCCTGCCTCTCCTATGCATCTCAGTATGCCCACCTTTACAGTACCCATGTGTAGATTTCTCAGGTATGTTTGTGTGTTGAGGAGAGGAACCTTTATTGGATTATAGATTTCCAACTTGTTGTAAATTTAAGGGGAGATAGAAAGCAGTCTTCTCACTCTGCCACGACATTGACATACTCCTTATGACAACTTTTTAATATGACAATATACTCTATTTCTCTTTTACAAATTAATAGAATCAACTCTTTTAAATTAAAAAAAAAATAGTGATTTGATG